TTATACATTCTTTTGAACAAAAATTCTGCCATATAATGCTCAAAATGATAATCGCGAGTGCCATAGCGCGGAATATTTGCTCTTATATCTCTCCAAAATCTTTCTATATTTTTTCTATATTTTTTCTATCTTTTTATATTTAAAACGAGAGTTCAATCATCAAACTTTTTTTGTTCATAATTTTTTTATAAACAATGAGCGACGGATAAAACCTTCATATTATTATTCAGAGAGGTGACCTTGATAACATATGTCAAAATTGTTGAGATCGGAAAATAGTCCGTATAACTGCATAATTACCCATTTCCGATAGTACCATCCACAATGCTTTGCGAATTATTACTTTCACTTGTATCTTCTACAGTAGCATTTAAAACTATGGAAAGAGACATTATTGAAAACACTCGGTACACTTATAAAAGTACATATTATATAACAGTAAATTCACCTTTCAATTGCTCTACAATTGCTGTACAATCTACATGTAGATTTGTTACATACTATGTAATATGTTATGTATAAATTTTAGTATATACATTACCTCCATTATGCGTTTTTTCCGCAGATTCTTCAATGTGTTCTTCTTCTCTGTTATTACCTGAAAACCATTGTACTTTGAAAAAATGTTGACAATAATGTAATTGTATGATTAGGCTCAAATATTATTTATTTTCAAAAATCAAAAAATGTAATGAAATTTTAGAATACAATTAATAGAAAAGTGTATTTTTAGAATATAATAAAACCGTATATTTAGTAGTGACACATAAAATGTATGAAAACACAACAGAAAAGATGTCAATATTACAATGTCAATCAAAGTGTACTTACTTTTTTTACTTTGTCTCCTCCGTCGAGGAATGTATTTATCTGTATTATCTCCTCTACCATCAATATCTAATCAAAAGAGTGAAAATTGTAAATATAAAAGTAAATATTCTGTTGTTTTAATGGAGTGTAAAACAACTGTGAGTAAACATTTTTCCTTTTGCACAAAACTTAATATATCTTTATCTAATGTGTAACATGTCGAGAGATATAATAAATAAATCTAATATAAATAAAGAAATTTATATATATAAAAAAAATNTTAAATCTATTTACCAGAATTGACAGCTCCTCCTGTATGCAAGTCTGCACAAATCTTATCTTCGTTTCCATCATCTACAAAAAGTAATTTAATTTATAACATATAATAATAAATCTAATAATAGTTCTAAACTCGAAAACAGATTTACGCAATAATCTTATGTATCAAAAATAATTATGAAAAGTAATAAGTATGAAAAACAATAATAATATATATTACTATTGTTTTTCATAATTATTAGACGATAGCAGTAAACGATAATAGACGACGAATAATAATAATTATAAAAAGTAATAGTAATATATATATATATATATATATATATATATACATGTCATTACTATTGAGATATTTTAGCCGGCGGTTGTTATTTGTTAAAAAGTTTCATCAATACGACATCGTTATTCGACATTGTGTACATTTCACAAGTAAATGTATAATGTATATATACAAACATATTTATGGTACACACAAATATTTATGTATATTTGTGGAGACAGTGTGTTCCGCCTCCTTACACTGGGGGAGTTTCACTATCAAAAGACTAGACACATAGGTTTGAGTTGAACCTCGCTTTGTGTGAAAAGTTGTAAATCCAGAGACTTCATCTCGGTTTCATTTGTCGCTTACTGTTGCGAGATTCCAGGTGTAGGTTTACAACTTTTCTCGCAAAGCGACTTCAACTCCAATCTATGTGTTTAGTCTTCTAATAGTGAANNCATTCTCCTTCCCAGGTATAGGGGAGCGGAACACACTGTCTCCACGAATACACATAAATATTTATTTGTAACACAAATATTTTTGTATATATACATTATACATTTACTTTTGAAATTTACACGGTGTCGAATAACAATGTCGTATTGGTGAAAATGTTTTTTAACAGGAAATATATAAGGCCAATACGAGCCATTCGCAGGATGTTATATATATATATATATATATATATATATATATATGTACACGCATAGTTTCCGCACAAACATCCTGCGAATGGCTCGTATCGGCCTTATATATTTCCTGTTGACAATTTCACGAGCGTTAAGTCTTTAAAATGTTTTTTGTTATAACTTTTTAACAAACAACGATCAGCGATTAAAAAACTTTCAGAACCTTACTCAGAGTTCGACAATCATTATACTACAATATATGTCAAAGTCAAAATCAAAGTCATTAGAAGCTGCTTCCTTTTTATGTAGTTTTACCTGGATTTTTATAATTACAAGTGTTACAGTTAACAGGATACATTTAAAATTGTCAATTTTGGACCATTTTATCATACTTATCTCACAAACTACAGTTACTTTTTACCAATGGTTTAAAATATCGCACGTTGAAAAATAAAACTGGGTTTTAAAGAAAAAAGGATAGTAAATTATATAAAACTATCGGTAAAAATTTTGAAAAGAGAATTTGCTTTCTCTGTAATATTTTTACAAATATGATAAGAATTGTCATTTTTGAGCCATTTTATCCTATTTATCTTAAAAATCTGGTATAATAAACAATTTCNGCAGATTCGCATTCACAAAATTATCGTAAAAACCTACAATACTTTTAATTTTGCAACAACTTATAAAAATGTTTTCGATTTCGCAGGGCTGTATTATTAATATGTAAATATTAATTATATTACCTATTTGAAGTGTAAATTCATATTCTTTACGTTCGCTTTCTTTTTCAAACATCTGTAAGAATTCCTTTAATGAGTAAATCCCAGTGGTTAAATTATTCTGAGCTTCTCGTATTCTGGAGTTTCTAAGCTTTTCAAAACGGGATCGATGTCTTTTCACTTGTTTACCATTTCTTAAACGATCGTAGATTATTTCTTGATCCGTAATAATTTGAGAAAGTTTATCTACAAAAAATATGCTCTTCTATTTTTTCACATTGAGAAAAACAATATATTGTTATTAAATTTTTTATATACATTAGCTGACTGTATATGTATACCCCGATAGCCAAATGATAGCAGTGTGTCAGCAGTATTGCACGCAGGTTTAATCAGCACTTTGCAGCAGATTCCACTCAGCTGTGTCATCAAAGTGAGTGAATTATGTAGGCACGATACGTAAAGAAAACAACACAGCAAAAATAATATTATAATTATTATTATATATTATTATAATATTATTATAATAATATATAATAATAATTATAATATTAATGAATAATAGAAATAAATGAAGAATGAAATGACAATAGCACGTTATGCTTCAAATCTGCTACATTTTTTGAGCAAGTTCTGCTTGATTGATGCAATAATATTTGCATCACAGCATGACATATTTATATTCTTTTTTTTCTGTTTTTCTGTCGACACTAGTTGAAATAACAGATTATGTTTGAATGCTGGCTACATTGTACTGGCATAATGTGTTATTGCAGACTTTGCAAAATATGATTACTCAGTCTTGGTTATCTGGGTATATATACTATATACAAAGTGATTTATCTTTATTGTCTCAGGCGGATGTTTTAGAAATTAAGACACATAGAAAAAAGTTTCAAATAAAAATTGTAGGGTTTTGAAAAGAATAATGCTAACGCCGTCGGTACTGTTACAAAATTTTAGAAACTCATACCTCAGAAAAATCTCTACTAAAAATAGATTGTAACCAGTGTTCTGAAAATGCTTTTGATGTCAGCTACATGAATATGCAGTTGAACAATGGGGACTTCAATTTAAAAAATTTAAGTTGATCTTGACGTGACTTTGGAAATGACCTCTACACAAAATTCATTCAGGCCATCGTATTTCCTTTTCAAAACTCTACAAATTTTATTTCAAATTTTTTTTCTATGTCTCTTCATTTCGAAAACATCCGCCTGGAGCAATTAAGATAAATCACTTTGTATGTATACATAGTGTCTGACAAGTTTTGACACAGCCGAAGTGTGAAGGTAGATTGGATTAATCTAAACCGAAAAGTCATGTACTATGTTGCAACATTATATGTTCGCAATACTTATTGCGTGATTAAGTACTACATGTGATCCAATGAACGTGAGGTAAGCGATGGTCCAAACTCTGTAGGCATGTATGATGTTTAGTTGTGAAAATCAGTTGATCGCGAGAAGCTGCGTCACTCACCACTCGCTTGTTTGGTCTCTCTTCATATTTTAGAAGATTGCATGAAGTAAGTTGCCATTTTTTTACAACTGAAAATCATACACGCCTAGTGAGTTTTGACCATTGTTTTCCACGCGCTCATTGGGTATCACATGTATTAATTACTCACTCAATACCTATTGCGAATTTTGCGAAAAGATACAAGACTTATCTGTTCAAACTCACCCAATGTATCTTCACACTTCGATTGTGTCACAATTTTTCAGTCACCCTGTTTCTGTGCGCGCGCGCGCGCACACACGCACACACACGCACACACACACACACGCACAGAGTGGAGCCTAAAACATACCACCTTAACCCGCTTGCTTTTAATGGTAGAAAAAAATTATTAGCATCAGATTATGTTTTTCTCAAAATCAAACAACTTTAATCTGATGCATTTTTGTCTACCATCAAAAGCAAACGAATTATTTAGGTGCTCTGTTTTAGATGTCTCTGTATAATTATACAGAGACATCTAAAAAAATACATACATACAAGTATACAGGACACTGAAATAGTATGTACGTATATCATACTTATGTGTTATATGTAGCATACCTAAAAATATCCAGAGATTTGGACGAATAGTTTGCATTTTTTGCGCTAAAATGTTATGGAATGATTCTACTATATTATTAGTTCTTATGGAACATCCATATACACTTATTTTTTCCGCAATTGGTAGCCATGTGCTTCTCATATACCTCATGAAAAGCAATACAGTAGGATATCTATCACATTCCTTATCAGCAAGTATTTGCATAAGGTTTAGTCCATCGCAGAACATTTCAGGTGGAGCCAAAGCTAAAGTCATAGCCATAGATAATATTGTACGTGGAGCTGTCAAAAGTGATAATTGTTTCCATTTCTTCATTACTGCCTACAATATATAACAATACAAATATATTACAAAGCTATATTAAAAATAAATAATAACGAAGAAACACAAATTCATTAAGTAATTTAACTATTGTTCGAAAATGTCCTATATTGCAAAAATGAAGTAATTTATGTAATAAAAAGATAGAAAAAACGTAAAAGAAAACTTATAGGGAACACTTTTGCGTCAAACGTTTTTGAGAGACTTACTTGACAATAATGAAACCAGCATCCTTTTATAGATGCTTGAGGAAATTGTTCTTGCACAGCATTCATCGATGCTCTTTTGTAATCCATCATTACAAAGCGTATATTTTGTTGTATGTTAGGTGCTAATTTTACTATTTCTTTCCACATAGATGTATAAAGTGATTGCGTTTTTTTTCACAAAGAATAAATAATACTGCAATGCCCTACAATGTAGTATTACAACACAGATTAACACATATGTAGCAGCAATCTGAAAAAATATATGAAAATTTTGTCTTACAGGTATTACCTTGTCCATGTAACGCACATGTACAGAATAC